ATAAATGGCAACAGTGTGCAATGTCAATGACAGCCAGTTGACGAGGATGACGATCGTGATGACTGCTCCCAGTGGCCTGTTCCCACTTGTCAGCTGGCAACAGCCAACATGTTGCTATTATAAGTGAACAGCACTGGCAACATTGAAGAGAAACTCTTCAGATAACATAACACACGATTACTATTATAAAATATATTAGCAGTATTCAGCTGTTCCCAACAAGGAAGAGTTGCACTAGCAGCATTATATATGTACACATATATATGCAAAAGCAATGTGATCCCTAAGCAAAGTGACTGTAACTGTTCCTATTTATTATAAGCATGTTGCTAGTGGTTTTGCTGCGCTGCATGTTGCTTGAGAACAGTTTGAGCTTAGTAGCCTGTTAAGCTATGTTGCCGCAGCATGTTGCAAACGCTGATGTACTAGCAACCAGCAACATATGGGTATGCCGGAAATGTGGTACCACAGCGCACAGCTGATGAACTGATACACACACACTCACACATATACTTTTGTATATATGTATACACTCTAATGCAGTTATATTGCGATCGAATTGAGTGATTGCCCCGTCGAGACGTCGAACGTCGAACATGGAAGCCGCTGTGGCAGAACATGACGTATCTCTCTTCTAATTGCAACGCCCACACAACACGCTGATCGGGATCGAGATTGCATAAGAGATTGTGTGTATGCGTGTGTGTGTGTGTGTTGGGCAACGGTCTTTGCACAAATTGACTTTTGCAATTTGCTTTCTTGATTTTTATTCTGATTGAAGAGTTAAAAGCGGGTTGCCTAACTCCGAGAGGCATTTGGCAACGGAGGCAGAGAGTATGATAAATGAAAATGAAATATTCATTCATTCAAATGCTATGGAGGTTCAACTTAATGTAACAGATCTCTCTTAAATATGTAGATTAAACATTTTTTATATATTCTATAATATATATATATATATGTACATACATATATTCACTTTTTACAAAATCAAAGGGTATTCAAGATTCATTTTCTTGATTACAATTTAGCTTTGTTTCTGGGCGCTTTTAATTAAGCGACTCTTGGCCAGTTTGAATGGCCAACAAGTTGGCTATCAATCAAAACACGCGGCAGAAATAAACAAAATGAAACAGTTCAGACCACTAAATTAGGAGCACTAAAAAAAGACGAAGCAAAAAAATAGAAGAAAATACATTTTTCAAATACTAAACAACTTTCAAAGTCAAACAAATTTAATTTATAGTGCGACAGTTTTTCCCCTTCCCCTATTTCACTTTTCTTTTTTAGTGTTTTAATGTTTATTATTTAGTTGTTGAATTTTCCTCGTTCATTAAGACATTGAGAGTGAGAGAGAAAGAGGGATGGTGTGAGAGGGTAAAAGAAATTTTATAGACTTGCCATATCATTTTTTTAGGCTTCCGCATTTTCGGCCTGGCCTATAAATCAAGAGATATATACCCATACATATATATGCAGACGTATGTGTATATATGTATATATTTATTTATTATACATATATCTATTATGTCATAAGCCGATTGGGCTGTCATTAGTGTGCCTTATGGACAGCGTTCGCCTATCGCAATAGTAAATAAATAATGCCAATAAATCAAGGTAATACTTTAAAGATTGCCCACAAATGCGAAGCAGGAGGAGCAGCCGTAGGCGGGGGAGGAGCAGCAAGTGGCGCAACATTGGGGCCCAGCTTAAGAGCTTACAATTAGTGGCTATAGACGGGGCCTTCCGCTTAGAATTAGACAGCCAGATCACAAATTGATGCCGCAATCGATGCCATTTCATGCTAATTGCAGCTTGGGTAAAGAAATAGAGCAGCCTTGATATTGATTATTTATAGTTAGAGGATTTCAAGCTACGCAAGAGTTAAATATATTTTTTGTATTTCATATATTGTTCAGTAAATATTGAGTATTCCTTATTGTACGCATTTGAAATCTAGATCATAAGCGAGTTAACGGCATTTAATATACGTATCAGAGTAGTAGTATCAAAAATGTTGGTAAGCTCTCAGAATGTTCTCTTCTATCTCTTGTATTGTGTATTGTGTGGTATTTCAAGTAGTCTGTATTATGAAAATTCTTATAAACATTGAGAATTTTTTCTTCTATCTACAGTTAGGCTGCAAATTCATCTCAGTCGCCTGCTGAGCACCATTTAAGATTAATTGCCTGTCCGTTCATGCATCAGAGCTAGATAATATTTACAATTTGTTGCGTCGATCACTGAGGCAACGGCATATATGTATATAAATTAAACAAGTTTAATTAATTAGGCATACATTAAACATGCATTGGCATTTGTGTATTGATTTTCATTTTTATTGACTGAATTGGAATCTGAATAATATTGTATGATGCGGATTTGCTGATAACCTACTGTAGTGGCTGTGTCTGACCTACAGATCAGCTACTGAATAAGCCTTTGACAAATAGGGCCCTTGAGCATCCAACTTATAATAAAAGCTCCGAGGTGCAATTCAAGGAATTTCGAAATGAATTTTTGTATTGCTTGCGTTGTGAATATTTTTTGTGGAATATTAAAAAATGTTTCATTACACATTTCGTTCATTTTATCGTTCATTTATACCCTGCAAAAAGCAACATGAGAATGAAAGTTGGCTTTGCATGTGTGCGAAGAACTGATAAAAGCTTGGGAATGGAGTTGATCCAATTGTAGGTTGAAAACTGCAAAGACCGAGGTTGTATAATATGATATGGGGTTAAAGTGTTCCGAATGAATTCCCTTATATCACGATAACGAATTATAAATATAGCTTCCAGCTTATTTTTCTGGAATTTTGGAATATATATAATTTTTAATTTAATCATTTTTTTTTTTTTTAATTTATATTTATATAGATTCAAAGTTCCTATAGGGTAACTCAAAGTCATCCAATGTCAACAGCATTTTCGAATTGTTTCTTATTGCACTCTGCTATGCAAACGGAATGCGTGCAAAGTAAACAGTAATAATAATGCAGGCAGAACGAAACAAGTGGTCTGATTGAATGCCAACGAGGATATTGCAACAACCAACAACCAACGGGCAACAAGAACAAAAAGAACAACAAGGACAACATCAACGACAACGACAACGACTACGCCTGCATCTGCGATATTAAATTCCTGCTAAAGGTCAGCAGTCAAAGGAGCTCAAGCAAAGCTGACGATAGTGGGCGGAGGGGAGGAGGCTGCTGAAGCCGTGTGGCTGACAGGTGCAGCCATAAGCTCATAATGCCAGTCGACTGCATTTGCCCTATGCTGCGGCTTATTGAAGCTGCCTGGCCTTGAGACTTACTTAACATTAGTGATAGGGCCATCTAGCAGATAGGAGGAGTAATGCGATAAGCTATTCAACATTCGTCACCCATTTAGATGCTGAGTCCACTCATAATTCGATTCGCTGAAAAATCCCCAAGTTCACTGATAAGATAAGCTACGCTTTGAGACTGTGAGTGAGGTTTATTCGTAAAAAAAAAAACAATATATTATATACTAATTAAAAATTAAAAAAAAAAAAAATATAATTTATGCCCTATGTATGTTGCTATTTGATTTGCTCAAGTTTCATTCATTCATTACATTACTTTATTTTTATTAGTTATTTAGCTTTGTGTTTTAATATCTTTTTTTGTTTCAATACGAGCTGCAAACATTTGATTGATTTGCATGAATCAAGTGCCGATCATAGCTGATTGATTGGTTGGCCCGGCAGCTCGTTTTGCATGTGGTAAAGGGCGACAGCTCTTACAGCATGTCAATCAAGTGCAAGTCAATCAAGTCAATTAAGGGCATAGCATAACGGAAAGTGAAGATCGTCGCCCTAAATGGTCATCGATCGAGCGATCAAGAGACAGGTTCAAAGCCACAGTCGCAGCTGAGGTTCATATTCGAGTTCATGTTCTCTCTCTCTCTCTCTCTCTCTCTCTCTCTATCCCTATCGCTCTCGCTCTGTTGCTTTGTCGGGCCGCTTGGCCCAATTACAGGCCAGAAAGTGAAACCGATTGAGGATCGAGGTTCGAGGAGGCGATCGTGCAATTTATGAGCTGCATTCGAGCCAAATTGGCTTGTTAACCAAATTGGCTGCTTCTGCTTTTTGTTGTTGCTGGAGCTGCTACCGCAACACGTTTCATAATTGCGGCATTGAGTAACTGCCTCAACTACTGGGTGGGCTATCGGAATCTCTGCTTAAGATCAACGATTCTGTCTCTCTGTCTCACTGTTGGAGGCTCAGGGTTAGCTGCACTCGTATCTCTGCTCATCCAGTGGCCCATTCGCGCTAGCGATTGAGGTTCAAGGTGAGGCATTCACTTCTAACGCACAGATCGTCGAGAGGCTGATGACTTAGTGGGTTACTCAAGAAATTTGTGTGTATGTATAATGTTTTATATAAATGAGTTTATACATGCAGAAATGCAGAAATTATAAAATAACCTGTGAGACAAAATTATCTTTTGAACGAATTATTGATCAACTGCTCAGAATATATGTATGCATATGTATTATAGTTAATTCTAGACATTTTTAAAACTTTTTCGGATTGGAATGAAAATCATGTACATATGTATATATTATTATATTAATATGCTGACATACATATTTCTCTATGTAAAAAACTCAGCTAACTCTAGCCTTAATATTAAACACATATAAACATGTAAATATCAATATTGATAGATTAATTAATTCACAGAATTCCACAGGCATAGTTATCAAATTCCTTATCGGTAGCCGGTGGAAATATGCACTTGAGATGCAATGAAAAGACTTTAAGAGCGACTCACGGGACGTCTGGCCAGTCTTGCGTCTTGCGTTCTGGCAAATATTTAGCCGTCTACAAAGCCAAACACCTACGCAGACACACACACATGCACACGCACGCACACTCAGAAACACTCACAAGAGGGCAGCACACATAAAGATAGGCGTGATGATGTTTTTTTTTTTTATGGATTCCACGTAGCTATTTGCTCTACTCACCTCATCAAAGGCGGCGCTGGCATCCAGACGATTATCGTTGCCCAAACGAGGCGACACCCATGGGTGGCGCGGCACGCGTCGCAAGTGGGCGATAGGGGGCGTGGTCGAGGATGCGGAGACTGATCGATATGATGAATAGCTGGGTATTAGCCTTTGTCGGGCATAATCGATATCGATATCGATGCTAAGAGAATCGCGTTGGCTATTGTCATTGTTATCGTTATCGCTATCGTTGTAGTAATCGTCATCGCTCTCCTTGCTACTATCGTTGTCCTCGTACAGCACTTTGCTATGATCCACTTTGCGCTGCGCTGCGCCGCATACACTGCTCGCGAGCAAAAACAACAGTAAAATTTGCAACATTCTAGACCAATTTTTACACAATCTTTTTTTTTTATGGAATTTACTAATTCAGTAAATGCGGTATTTTTTTCGGTGCGCTTAGTGACTCTCTGTGTTGCTGTGCTAAAACATATTTCAAAATGTCTCAATTATACATTTTTATTTTTATTTTTTGGTTTTTTTTCTATATATTTATAGAATTTGTATTTAAAACATCGAAAACCTTGCTAAATATTTTTGTTTTTGGCACACGACTCAAATTGTTAGAACATTTTTTGTGTAAAAAAACTTATTTCAGTCTGCCTTTAAGTATTTTCAATTATGTATATATACATATATACATGTGTATATATATGAGAGCTCTTGAATTTTTTTCTTTAGCTATGATTTTTTTTGTAATAATTATATATATTTTTCTCACTCAACTTGCGCGCACTTCTTTATACGTAGAATATATATTAATGAACTTATTTTTATTGAACTTTATTAGTTTTTCGAAAATCTTTTATTGCTTGCAGTTTGCTTGGAGACACTCGCGTCGCTGCGATGTGAACGCGCCGCCGGTTCTTTTGTATCTGAGTCAGCAGCAACAGCAACAGCAGCAGCAGCCGCAATCGCTCGAAAAGCTCTCTATTCTCTCTGCCTGTGGCTCTCTTTGGCGTTGTGTGTGTGTGTGTGTGTGGGGATCAGTGTGTAAATGCCGCTGAGAGTGGGTGTGGAGTGCATCGGAGGACTCAAATCTTCCACGCTCTTTGTCTCTCTCCTTCTCTCATTTTGTGTGCGTGATTCATCGTTAATTATGACTCTGTTTGTTGTGTGTTTGACTGCTCACTCTCTCGCTCTCTCTCTCTGCTTATGAACTTATTAAGCGTATGCAAATGCCTGAATGTGCTGCTTTTCAAAGGAACAGGACTTCAGTAAGTGGATTTGACTGGCTCTGGAATATATAACGCACTCTTGTAGCTCTACTCGGTCTGTCGCTCTGAGCATGATTCATTTGATCAATTTAATTTGCGGCTCGGCTTTGCTCTGCTTTGTTAATGTTGTTGTTGCTTCTTTTCATTGAATGCAAATTCAGAATCGACGCTCAACTTTTGGGCTTTGTATGACTCAAAAAGTTTCATATTTATTTATAGTTATTATTGATATGCCGATCTCATCTCAGTAGCCTCGCTTCCCCTCGCTCTCTCCCTATCTCACGCTCTCTGTCTCTGTCGAGCTCTGCGAGTTCACCTAATAAAAGTACACGCAAAATCTTTATTTAAAGGCGACAATTAAAGTGATTTATTGGAACGACTTCCAAGCATTTTGCTATGCAAATATGCAGACAGACAGATAGTCACGCAGACAGACACACGCACTGCTGCCTCATATTTGTGCTGATAAGCTGATGTGGGGTAGGCTACAACAACAACAACAACAACAATATTAGCAGCAGTCCATTAGATAATCAGATATCAGCCGGTTTAGTGACCAGCCTTCGTTGTCTAACATATAACGAATCTCTCTGCTCTGCTCCCCTCCTCTTTTTCGAATCTATACATAGCTCGGGGAATCCATTAGTTTTCATATTCTATCATATAATTGACGTTAACAAATACAAGGCTTATTAATGATCATCTTCAACTTTGTCAGTTGCTGAACTTGATGAAACTGCAAATACAGCTAGAAATATTTTCACTTATCAGTTTTATAAATAGCAAATGTCAATTATATTTATATAAATAAATACATAATTATGCAGCTATTTATGACTGAGATTCAGGGCCTATTAAATTCAAAGGCTAATTAAAGGCTAATTACAAATATCAAAGACAAGCTGGCGAATACACAGTCATATACATACAAATACTTATGATATATTTATATTTGTCATTATGCACGAAGAAAAAAATCTTAGAAGGTTGCATAGGGTTATGTATTATTATATAATATAAAGAAATTTATTATAATGAGAATAATAATTATGAGAAAAAAAATCAGAATAAAATCGAGAATGAGATAAAGAATAAGAATGAGATTATGATAATGATGATGATGCTGATAACGATTCTCATTTTCGAGAGCGAGGAATAGAGGTGGAATAAGAATTGAAAGGAGTGAAATAATGATAAGGACATTGATAATGATATTAATAATGATAAGGCTAATAGGACTATCTATTGACTATATAAGTATATATAAATACATATGTATATCAACGCTTATGTATGTATAGCGCTTATGATTTGATTTGACTTGTTGATTGCCTACAAGCTAATANATATATAAATATGTATATATATATATATATATGGCCCTGGAGTAGCTTTTATGCATATTAGGTGTCATTGATTTGGCTCAGTGTGTTGCTGTTGTTGTTGCTGTTGTAGCTGATGGAGTCGGCTGCGACCAGATGGGTGCCAGTTAGTGGGGCGTGCATCTGTCAACGGGTTTGTTGTCGCCTCATTCAGCAGCGGGCAGCCGCGGCAGATCTCTTCGCCAAGAAGTTCTGCTCGTATTTTATTTATGGCCTTTGGCTGCTTTGGCTAATAGCGCATAAATCTTATTAATGATCTTGTCAAGTGGCTGTGAGGCACCCGATCAGCAAGTCTCTCTTTGAGTGTGTGCGTGTGTGTGTCTGTGTATGTCTGTCAGCTCTGCAGCTTTGCTCAGTGGAAGCTGATGGACAATAGCTTTCAACGCTACCAGTCAATCTGTCTGGAAACCCTTTTCTCGCAAAATTATCCAAGCCACAAAATTCTCACACTTTGTTGCGCCACATTGACTGCACCCCGTTCCGCTTCCCCTAGTCTTACCCTGCCTCCCTATTTTTTGTGGGCGTCACATTTGCGTCAAGCCAAAGGCAATCAACAAAAAATGCGTTCAGTCTGCTCACTTTTGTGCAAGTTTGCATTGGGTATAACGATTTTGTTGGCGAATGTGTAACGCTCAAGTAAATCGAGTAGTAGGAGAGGAGTAGTGGTAGTCAGGTAGTAGGAGAAACAGGAGTACAGTTTAGTACTTAGTAGTAGYAGAAGTATTAGTGGAGTATTAGTGGGAACTCAGAGTAGTAGTGTTACTAGCAGCCGAGTACTATAGTACAGTTGTACCATGGTATAGGAATAGTAGTAGTATAGCCTAGTGGAGTAGCAGAGGCAGTGTAGTAGCAAAATAGGGGTAGAGTAGCGGCAGAGTAGAGCGCGACTAGTAGCAGAGCAGAGGCAGACTATAGGCAGACTACGGGCAGACTAGTGCTCGAGCAGTAGCAGAGTAGAGGCAGAGTAGAGGCAGAGTAGGGGCAGAGTAGGGACAGAGTAGAGGCAGAGTAGGGGCAGAGTAGTAGCAGAGTAGAGGCAGAGTAGTTGTATAACACTAACTGTTATTACTAGACGTGCAGTATTGTAGTAATAGCAGAGTAGTAGTAGGGTACTAAAAATTTAGTAGTAGCATAGTGGTGGTGCAGTTAAAATTTAGTGCAAGAGTCGTATATTTAATGTGCTTCCTTGTATGCAAGGGTATCTTGTTTTCGGCTCTCCGCCTCTTGAATGTTTTCGAATAGACAACAAATGTAGAGAACAATATGACATAACTCTCCCCATTCCTGCTCGTCTAGTGTTCAGCATAGGTAGCAACGCCCACAGTCGGAAATTTTGCATGCGTCGCCAATAACTTAGCCACGACGCGTCGTTCCTTTTTACTCCATCGGCTGCTAACTGCAACAGCTCAATCTTTGCTGAACACATTTTGTTTCGCATTTGTCGATTCTTTTTCCAGAATAGCTCCAGTATATCGTGTTTGAAATAGTCTGCTGCTCTTTTTATTATGATTGCCTGCACTCATCTCATGTGTTTATATACTTTTTATTGAAATTTTTGTTGTGTGTTTCTCCTCTCATTTGTACGATATTTAATTCGAAGTTCTTTTCCTTTTGACAGCTCGTATCGCGTATGTTTATTGGGCGTTTTGTACGATCTCCGACTTGTATTTTGATTAATGAGTTTCCCTTAATTGTTTGACATGCTCTTATGCATTAGTCACGCTTGCATCAGCATCAGCATCAGCCGAAACAGCATCAGCTTTAGCATCAGGTTCAGCGCCAGCTTTGGCATTAATCCCGGCTCGATCAATCGACAGATTGCTTCGAAAATTGTTTTCGGACGGCTGTGTGTGTGTGATACGTATGTGTATTTCAGAGGAATGTTTCTCTGTGCCTAAGTAAACTTGTCATACGCTCAATCACAGGCCGGGCTCCAATTGCAGTTAAATTGCGTGGGAAAACAGGAATCTAGAATATTAAGATCTGAGGAGTTCTAAGAATTTGTTCAATAAAAACATATATACCCCATCTGCTATATGAGATAGATTCCATAATATTTTACAGAGGTACTTGAAACATTTTTTTTTTTGAAATAAAATATAAATAATGAAAAACAAACCCACAATATTTCCCTAGTATAAAGTAATACTCTTTAATCCAAATTTAATATTTTTATTAGTTTACAAATTATATCTGATTTATATATAATTTATTGCTGAGATATTTTTCAACTTACATTTCTCATTATTAGTTTCATTTCTGAATACGAGTTAGCAACACTTCAAGACTTCATTGATCACTCTACTCTCGATTTGTTTATTTGTAATCTCTTAAACGACATACACATATCGATAAGGCTGACGCTTAACCCAGTTTTGTTTTTGTGGGGGCGTCAAGTGCAGCTCTCTCTCTCTCTCTCTCTTTCCCTGTCTGTCTGTCTTTCTATTGCTCTCTTTTATCTATATATCTATGTTTGCATTTGTAGTGCGTGTTGTTCCATTGAAAGCACGTTCCAAGCTGTTTGTCTGCGGTTTTTGTTTTTCCGATTGAGCTACAGAATTGTCAATTAGTGAAAGTGGAAGTGTCGCTATCGCTGCCCCCCTTTGCATCTGCCCCTGCCGTTGCCCCTGCTTCGGTGTCTGCCCCCGCATTACCTGCGGGTCATGTATTTGTTTACACAATCTAAAAGTCTGTCATAGATGCATTGGATCCATTTCTTTTCAGACGTGTGAAAATTGTGGGCACCATGATTTGCACTTTGTCAGATGCCAGACGCGAGACGCGCTTTTCA